ATAGGTCAATAAATAGAGAGATGAAGTGTTGGGGTAAGGAATAGCAACTTTATTCAGAAATCCAGCAGACCAAGAAGACGGCAGACTAGTGTTCCAAAGAATCATCTTACCCAAGTTAGAATTCAGGCTTCTTTATGCTAAAAGGGAAGGGGGTGTGACTAGTTGTTGCAGACTTCTTGGTGCCAGCCAGACCCCAGAGGGGATGTGATAATCCTTTGATCTTGTAGCTATCCATGTAGCTCCAGTCACTATGTTCCTGAAAACCTCCAATAAGACAAATGTTATTTTCTGTTCTACAACTTTTTATCTCTATATGAACGATCTACAACTCTTTATATGAATGAAAAGTGTTATGGCTTTAAAGGTCAAGCCTGGGAGACAGAGCCTTGAGACAGGGCTATTATGTATATTTCAGGCTATAGGCAACATTCTTTTAAACGCAGGTACAGAGCCAGCATGACTAAGCACAGGCACCAGAGCACAAAGATTAGAGCTAAAAGAATAGATCCAATATGGAGTCAGGTTTGTTCTTCTCTGTTACATGAGGACACCCTCACATGTCTCCTTTGAGGATCTTGCTTATTCAGTGTAAGGTTTTCTTGACCATCTCTATATTGGTAATTCTAGTTCTGTTTGTATATTCCACCCAAATCTACCCTGAGCCCCAGACTGTTATAACCAGTACTCACTAGATATCTTCATTTGGATGTCTCAAATTGAACTCATCATTCTGCCCCACCTTCCCTTATTTTCCCTTAGTTAATGGTACCATTGTCCTTCTACCTGGTCACCCAAGCCAGCACCCAGAATTTGGTCTAGATTTTCTCTCTCCTTCACTTCCACATCCCAGTAGTATCTTGGGGGACCCCTTCTGGGAGCAATTCTGAATCAGTCAGGGTCCAATCAGGAGAGATAAGCCACATAGTAATATGAATAGAGAAAGTTTAATATAAAGGGACATTGGGGGAGAGGGCCTAGATTCTATAAAGGGACATGATAATTAAATTTGGGGCCAGCCTCTGGCTTTCCCCTAAGTTGTAGGAGTAAGCCTCAGAGAGTACTCCCAAGTGGGCACATTATTTACTCCTGTATATATCTCCCCAACCAAGACATAAACATTTTGTAGTCATTTTTTTTACTATCTCTTTTCCTTTTCTCCTCATATTCCCATCATCAAGACCAGTCAAGCCCACCCTTTCAGAGTCTCCCCACCCACTGCTTAATCTCCATTCTTGCTGCCATGGGAGTCCAGTCCTCCTCACCTCATAGTTACTGTACAGGAACCATGTTCCACAAGGTCACTCATTCAACAGCCTGGCCCTGTGCAAGGTGCTGAAGATATAGACATGAATTGTCACATAAACCCTCCAGCCTGACGACCATATCTTTGCCAGGACAATCTTCCCTCCTTTCAGCAACTCAGTCCCCTCCTCAAGGACGTATAAAGGCATGCTGTTGCCTACCCAATACATTTAAAATTCATACTTTGCTTTCTTTCATTCACTCAAGTGTTACTGAAGGGTTACTACGTGCCAGGCACTGGTACTAGGTATAAAGGTGGACAAACGAGGCATGGGCGCTGTCCTCAAGGAATTTAGTCTAGTGGGGAAGACAGACGTAAAAGCCAAAATCACAAAAATAATTATATAATTACTATTGTTTAATTAAAATTATTATGAACAATATGAGGGGTGCCTATAAGAGTATATAAACAAGAGATCTGATCTATTCTAAACCAGGAAGCAAGACAAGGCCTGAGATCTGAGTAGGAGCCCAGGTTTAGGTGTGTGTTGGGTGGAAGGTAGTTGTTAAGTGTCCCAGGAAGAGGGAACAGCTCATTCAGAGGTCCAGCTTTGAGCATACATGGGGCATGAGAAACTGTATGCCTACAGCATAGCAAACAAGGGAGAGAGTGGCAGATAAGGAATGAATCATGCAGTGAATTGCAGATTGTATTAAGCTTTTTGGACTTTGTCCTTCCTAAAAGTTATGAGAAGCCATTGATGGTTTCAAAGCATGTTATACCATGACCTGACTTACATTTTTTTCTCTCAACATTTTATTATGAAAATGTTCAAACAGTGAAGAGAATTGTACAATGAACACCCATATTGCTGACTCACATAGATTTTACAATTAATATTTTGCTCCTGACTTAATTTTTAAATTACATCACACTGACAAGTATGTAGGTGTTAAAAAGGAGGAAATAAATTTAATCTCTTCATCCCAGGGAGGATACAAAAATGTTTAGAAATGGTACAGCCTAGCTGATAAAATGATTAGAAATTATTAAATGCACAAAAGCACAAGGGATCATTGCAAAATTCCAAACACAGTTATTGGGGAAAAGTGTACCAGAGTTGTTTTCAGATACACCCTTTATCATTTCATCTTTGTGGACTATGATTCCAGGTCCAAGGTTATATTTTTATTTTTTTATAACCTGATTTCCTCTTATTAGAACTTGAAATACAGTGTTTAAAGAGGTAAAAACTCCACAAACACTTTAGTTTCTAAGATAATTTGCACTTCAGATAAGTGAGTTGATGAAGCTCTGACAAATGGTGACAAGAGGAATAGAGAAAAAAAAGATAAATTTTAAAAATGTATGGGAAGTGGAATTGATGAGAAGTGTTAACTAATTAAATTAGGGAGAGAGAGAAGAAAGTTTTAGCAGAGATGTTTCAAGGGCAAAGGAGGAATAGACTATTAAAACGCTTAATTTTGGCTATGCTAATTTTTCTAAGCCCCTGAAATATCCGGGTAAATATTACAATAAGCAACTAGAACTTAAACATGGAACTGGAGGGGTGGGGGATGTTCAAGTCTAAAAATACAGACTTGGAAACCATAATCATATAGGTCCCTGATTGAAACCATGAAAGCAGATGAGGTTGGCTTTGGAGAGTATGCAAAAAGAGAGGACAATTGTCACCTTGAGTCATCACGAAATCTCTGGGTCTCAGGTACCTTAAAAACTTGATACTGTTCCAGATGACTATTTATTTATTTATTTATTTTTGGCTGCATTGGGTCTTCGTTGCTGTGCATGGGCTTTTCTCTAGTTGCAGCACACAGGGGCCACTCTGTTGCAGTGGGTGAGCTTCTCATTGTGGTGGCTTCTCTTGTTGCAGAGCACAGGCTCTAGGCATACAGGTTTCAGTAGTTGTGGCACACGGGCTCAGTAGTTGTGGCTCGCAGGGTCTAGAGCGCAGGCTCAGTAGTTGTGGCACGTGGTCTTAGTTGCTCCACGGCATGTGGAATCTTCCCAGAACAGGGCTCGAACCAGTATCCCCTGCACTGGCAGGCAGATTCTTAACCACTGCGCCACCAAGAAGTCCCCAGATGACTATTTTAAACAAGCAAGAATCAAACTGCCACTTTTTACAACCCAATAATAAAAGTAATAATGGGCAAGGTATCTGAATACACATTTCCCTAAACAAGATCTACAAATGGGCAATAAACACATGAAATATGCTCAACATTATTATTAGGGATAGGCAAATCAAAATCACAATGGCATACCACTTCACACCTATAATTAAATGGCAGTTCCTCTAAAAGTTAAACATAGAGTTACCATACAACCTAGCAGTTCCATTACTAGGTATATTCCCCAAAGAACTGAAAATATATGTTCATCCAAAAACTTGTACATGAATGTTCACAGCAGCATCATTCATAATAGCTAAAAAGTGGAAACCACCCAAAAGTCTACCAAACTGATGAGTGGATAAAAAAAATGTGATACATTTATACAATGAAATATTATTCAGCAATAAAAAGGACTGAAATAGTAATACATGCTACAGCACAGATGAACATTGAAAACTTTATACTGTTAAAGAAGCCAGTCACAAAGGATTTCATATTACATATACGATTCCATTCTTATAGGAAATGTCCAGAATAGGCAAAACTATAGACAAAGCAGATTTTATAGTCCTTAGAGCTGGGAGGGTTGTGTGTGTGTATGTGTGTGTGGGGGGGGAATGTGAGGGGGAAGATGTACCAGGACTATTAATGACAGGTTTCTTTTTGGGGGTGATGAAACTGTTCTGAAATTGTGATGGTTGCACAACTCCGTAAATACAAAAACCACTTGAATTGTACACCATAAACAGGAGTATTGCGTGGTATGTGAATTATATCTCAAGAAAGCTGTTTTAAAAAATCAAATGGCCCTTTACAGGTATCAAAGTACCTCATCAGCTGGGTACCATACTTTGTTTTCTCTAAAGGCAAACAACAGGCCCAGAGGGATGTCTGAACTTCCAAGTTTGGACTCTTTCCACTATGTCATGTTGTTGAGTGATGGCATAATTAATCTTCACTCCTTGTGACACGGCTATAGCTGTACATCTCTCTAACGCAAAATCTTAGTTTTCAAGTGTATGTTTAACAGTTCTCCCTTATTAGACCACTAACTTCAGATGAGAGATTGTGGCTGATTTCAGTATATCAAGATCTGGTAAAGTGCTTTGGTATTTAACAGATGCTCAAATGAAGGGTTTTCAGGTAGGAAAGATCCACAACTGAAACTACAGAAAACCAAAGGAAAGCACGGAACCCAATATACGGACCTCCTCCCTCTCCAACCAAATCAAGACACAAAAAAAGAGAAACTAATAAAGCGGAAGAACGGAGAGAAGGATGGGAGAAACGGCGGGCCTCTCCTCCCTCCCTTCCCCCACGCTCCACGACAGCTTCCCAGAAAGTTCCAGAAGAGAGTCAGGCGTGGCCGGTGACATCACGACGCCCCGTGGCGACCACCACTGAGGCCACTGGCGCGCTTTCTTTCCCGCCTCAAAAAGACCCGGAGACGGGGTTAGCGCGGCGCGAGGGGCGGGGTTTACGTCACGTACAGCTCGGGACGCGCCACTGCTGTAAAGGGAAAGCCGAGCGCGGAGGGGCGGAGCCAAGAAAGCGCGCCTTCTGGGAGGGGGTGGGGCCTGGTTAAAGAGCGCCGCGTCACATCCGGGAGACTTAGAGCCCGAGCGGAGGCGGTGCGGAGCGTTTCTCGTCTCAGCGGCTCGGGAACCAGTGCGTGCTGCGGAGCTGCGGCTGAGCCTCTAGGTAGAAGGCGCAAGAGGTTGGCAGCTTCGATTGAAGCACGTCGGGCGGCGAGAGCAGCTAGAAGTCATGAGCGACAGCGGCGAGCAGAACTACGGCGAGCGGGTACGTAGCGGTGGTGCAGGGGGCGGCTGCGTGGTCCCAGCTTCTTGCATCTTTTTCCAGGCCCGTCGGCCTCGGACCGGGAGACTGGGGCGATTTCGACTCCGAAGTCTGAGACCGGGAGGGATGGGAGTCAGAGGTTTAAAAGCCCTAGTGGATAGTGTCTTTATCCGTGAAGGAGGCCGCCGGCGGGTTTAGGTGGCCCTTTACTCGAAACGGCGGTTTTTTCCGTTATGGGGGTGGGGGGGAATTAAAAATGGCCGCTGCGTCCCCTCCGTGGTGGGGGAGGGGAGCGGTATCTCGTTTCGCCGTTGCTCTCCTGTGAAGCCTCGCCGCAGCCATCTTGGGCTGGCGGACTGGGCGCGCTGCCAGAGGCACAAAATGGCGGAGGAGCCGCGCGACAACCTCCAGGCCGCAGGGGACGGGGCGGGCAGAAAGGCAGCGTTCTTTGGGATTTTTTTCCTCAGAATTTAGGTTAAGACAGGATCGTATTCTGGGCCCCGAAAGAATGGGAATCTACGGTGTTCTTGGGGCCTCTTTTAAAATGGGGAAACTGGTCTGAGGTAGACTAAGTTCTGGACCCGTTAGTTTGAGGGGGTTGCGCGCCAGCTTTGTGTTCGGCCTAAATGGAGTGCTTTTCTTTGATACCGAAAGGGCTTTCAAACCCAAAATCGTTTTCGGTATCCAGAGTAGACCACGGGTTCGCTGAGATTTTCTTGTTTGAGGGAGTAGATTTTTTTCTGCGAGATGGTGGAGGAGAAATTGGCGGGCAGCAATTTACGGCGCCGTTGTTTTCTTTGTTTTGAGACATTCCTACTCTGTGAAGCACAAGTTGTGTTGGTGCACTTTTTAAAGTTTCCACTCCAAAATGTGGAGTTTGGTGAGGGTTGGATAAACTGCAGAAATAAGGAAGTTCCTGGGCTAAGAAAGCATGATGTAAAGCTTGGTTGCGGGTTCGTGAGTACTACGATGCAGAAATGTCAGTCTTGCCAGAATCTTGCATATTTGGAGGTTTGTTAGAAGGGTAATAAAAAGCACCATGGAACTTGACTTTTTTTTTTTTTTACTTGATGGGATTAAGCTGGGTGTTTTTACAGTTTATCTGTAATTGTCAGGTAAATCTACTTAAATATCTTCTCAAACTCATGAAACAAATTTTAGTTGGTTCATTAGAAGGGCGTTTTTATAGAGAAACTCCTTAGCTCTTGGAGTCTTAGTGAATTTACTGTGTAACTTTGGAGCCAAGACTGATTAATTTGCCTTGAACTGATCAGGCCCCGCCTTTACTTGTGCAGATGAGTATTGGCTTTATATGTTTTTCCGTAAGACGATTGATTGCCACTGTCACCAGTGTGTGTGTGATTATTTTTTAAGCTCGCTCTTAGGGTGAGAAAGCTTGGATCAAGTTCACAAGTTGTTAAAGCTGTGGGTTATGGTTTCTGCCGGTTGAATATACTGTCGAAACTAGGCGTCAGTGTTCGGACTGGAAAGCAAATGATAATTTTAGTCTTCAGCTATTAAACAAAACAATTATAGGATACTTTTGCATTGTTTTGAGACTACAAAATGACTGGTCTCTGACTAGAGCTCTCAGTTGAATAAACCTGAGTAAGTTACTTGTGATGGTGTGCTTGAGAAGATGAAAAATTCCCCAAAGGAAAGTTAGGGTATTTTTTTAAGTAAGGGAGGAAACAATTTCAAGAATTAGGTCCTGGTTTGAGACATCTCAAGAGACATTGTCATCCCATTAATCAAGTTTTTGAATTGGTACTTTCTGTTAGTAGAATATACATCCTAGTTATATCACAATCCCGTTACATAGAATGGTGATTCAATAAATTCTTATGGAAGGAGACAAAGTAATAAAAAAATTTAAAGGTACATGTTAAAAATTGATATTTTGTCTTACATAGAGTCTTGACTTCTTGGAAGAGTTTTTCTGAACTCTGACGTTGTGGAGTACTTCCACATTGTTTTCTTTGGCGTTTGTTTTGTATGTAGATTGCTTTCCAGTCGGTTTATTGGAACCTGAAGTGGTTAGCCTATACCTAAAACAAATACGTTTGGGACTCCCAAAGAATGCGTGGCAAAACCATAAAGCTCAGTGGGATGATTTAAATATAATGCCATTAAAAACACTAGGTAGAGCACTCAGGTCTCATTGGCTAGAAACTTCCTTTTGGAAGTGCCTGAAAACAGTGGGAAAACCGTTGCATTCCATCTTGGACATGGCCTGCTATGAATAGCTTATCTGGAGCCTGAAAAATTAACTTTCATTCCGCTCTTAGTTTTCAGACATTACAAATTGTTGATGTAAATCACTAATACTAGTCTAATCAGCTAATGTTAATGTAATCACTAAAACCTTATCAGCTGGAACCACCTCCTGCCCCACCGTAGCCACCAGCCCCGCCGCTCTAGACTATTATAAGTTCGATTCCTATACAGACTGGGGTGGGGTGCGAGCAATAAATTATCCTCGACTTGCTTGTTGATAGTGTGTTTACTTTATTGCGTGAATATTGACAGAGTCGTGGTTCCTTATGTTCCTTTGTCTTGTTTTAAATGTGCAGCTAGGGTGCGTTCCTGAATTTTTGTGGTTCGTTTCACACTTCCAGTTATGGCAGAATCTACCTTTTACCTGTATCTGGGATTTTTCATGTCAGAGTTGATAGATTTAAATTAAAACCTGTTTCTAATTAGAGCTGACTTCCCTGATCTGGCCAAATCCACGTTAAAGTAAGATATTCATTTCAAAGTTCTAGTTTTTTCCAGTCATTTCCCAAAATTGGTCACGTTTTTTGCAAAGCACCTTTGGAAAAAAGAGAGGTGCTTTTAGCAGATATGTCATGTCACAATTTGGGAGAATAAGAACATGATAGAGTCACGTAGCCAAGTTTAGAGGTGCATGGTAATGGTGAGAGGGGGGTGGTAAATAAATCTTGTAAGGCCCAATTATGGTCACACTCTTTAGGGTGTGGTGACATTTGTTTGTTCTTGGCACTGGTTTAATGTTCAACCCTCCTAACTAATTTCTTTAGCTTGTATAAATGGGTCTTTAACTAGAGAAACCAGAAACTAAGGAAACGCTATTTGTATGGACCAAATCATTTTAATTTGTCTGCTATCAAGATTGCAATAACTACTCTTGATAGTGTTGCCTATTTTTGTAGAAGTAATGTGTATACAATATAGGTATATTATCTTTAGTCTTATTCTTTGTAGAGATGAATAGCATCTGGATACTATCCCATCAAACTGCCTTTCAGATTCTGCAGTTTATTTCCTCTTCTGCTTAATCTTGGGTTGTCTTTTCGAATTGTTTTTAGCTTCTAACTCTAAATCCAAATTTTCAAAACTAAAATATCAATCTCTTTCTTCCTAGAGGATTAAATTAATGTTGGTGGGAGGAAATAGTTTTGTTTCAGTGTGAGTCTGGTTAGGCACAAGTCTCTTGAAACCAGGTTGAAGAATATTTTTCTTGGTCTTAACTAAGAATGATTTAATGTTACGGATATGGCCTGGAACTAGAAGGTGGCATGTTCATACTGAAATTACAAGTGTTTATAAGGTAAGTACTACTGGTTTTGTGAAAAGATTGAACAGGAATTCAGAAGATGAGAGGTGTGTTAAATGGAATTTGCCTTGTACAGCTTTTTCCCATTCCTTATCTCCAGTAAAATCCAAAGCCTGGTAAATATTAATACTTGCATAGTTGTTGACATTTTGCCCAAGAGGACAATGCTACAGTGTGTATATCTTTTGAGCCTTAGCATTGCGTGTTATGTTGATCAGTGTTTTACTCATAATTGTATTATTTTCCTATGACCTACAGTGATGTGATTGGGAATTTTAAGTGTTCACCCAATTTAGTTTTTTGGGGGGAGGGGGTCAGGCTTGTTTTTAAGCTGGGGTTGGGGAGTTCTTCATTATAGCAAATTAGTCTTCAAATTCCCCCAAAATCTTTGCTTTGAATTGGGTTTTGGAGGTTACATTCTGATTTTTATCAACAAGATTGCTGAATATGACAGCATGGATGAGGACCCTTTTGGGGTTGTTTTTTGTTTGTTTTTTTTGCTTAGATATTAGATTAAAAAGTAGTCTTCTGAAACAGTAAAACATACTTGCGCTTGAATGCTTTATGAATGTAAATTCAGAGTCTGTATGTATTTGCAAGAGATCCTTTTAAAAGCTTGGGCTTAGAGCTCATTTAGGCATGTCAGATGACAGTTTTTTCAGAAATTTTCAGTCTTTGAGGATTTTTCTATCCAATCAACCTTCCGGTAGAGTTTAGCTGCAGAAAGAAATAGTATAGTCCGTACGTTGATATGAGCATTGATCTTTATAGCAGATTCAATGAGTTTTTCTTTATCTCCTCCTAGTTTTTAAAATACTACCTTGTCGATCAACCTAATGAGTTTGCACGTTTTTAATGTTACATAAATTCCAGCTGTAGTCCCTAGAATTATTTTAACAAAAATTGTGTTGGTTATGGGACAAATTTCTGCTTATTTGTAAGTAGGATCTCTTAACCATATGTATATAATATTAGCCCAGTAGTTCTTCTGGTTTTATGAAGTGGCCACTTGAACTTAGCTGAGGTTTGAATGAACCTAGTATTTATATTATCTAGCAGTGTGCTTTGTTCTTCAAATATGGAAGAAGGGAGAATGTTGGGAAGGAGTAATGAAATAGCAGGAAGGCGTCCATATTGAAAACTTGTGGTATCTAGAGCTTTGGCCTCTTCCAGCATTTTCTGCACCTAAGCCCTGTATTTAAACTTTAGGAGGCCTTAAGAGGAAACCTGCTTGGGCATTCTGATTCCACGATTACATTTGTGCTGGCAGTAAACATTTCCCATTACATTTTAGTGATGGATATTAAAACGAATTACTGTGACTCCCTTAAATAAAAAGTTATTTAAATTTTTTCCTGGATTAAATAAGCAATAATTAACATTGAAAAACTAGACTGAAGGTTATGGTTGTCTTTTTGATCAGATA